CCACTACACTCACCACTACTCACCACTACTCACCACTACACTCACCACTACTACTCACCACTACACTCACCACTACACTCACCACTACTACACTATACTCACCACTACTCACCACTACACTCACCACTACTACTCACCACTACTCACCACTACTACACTCACCACTACTACTCACCACTACACTCACCACTACTACACTCACCACAACTACACTCACCACAACTACACTCACCACTATACTCACCACTATACTCACCACTACTACTCACTATACTCACTATACTCACCACTACTCTCCACTACACTCACCACTACTCACCACACTCACCACTACACTCACCACTACTCACCACTACTACTCACCACTACTCACCAATCTCACCACTACTCACCACTACACTCACTATACTCACCACTACACTCACCACTACTACTCACCACTACTCACCACTACTCACCACTACTACACTCACCACTACTACACTCACCACTACTCACCACTACTACACTCACCACTACTCACCACACTTGCCCTCACCACTAATACTCACCACTACGCTCACCACTACTCACTATACTCACCACTACACTCACCACTACTCACCACTACACTCACCACTACTCACCACTACACTCACCACTACTCACCAAACTCACCACTACACTCACTATACTCACCACTACACTCACCACACTCACCACTACTCACCACTACACTCACCACTACTCACCACTACACTCACCACCACACTCACCACTACTACTCACTACACTCACCACTACTCACCACTACACTCACCACTACACTCACTACACTCACCACCACTCACCACTACTCACCAAACTCACCACTACACTCACCACTACTCACCACTACTACTCACCACTACACTCACCACCACTACATTATACTCACCACTACTCACCACTACACTCACCATTACTACTCACCACACTCACCACTACTCACTATACTCACTATACTCACCACTACACTCACCACTACAGTCACCACTACTACTCACCACACTCACCACTACTCACCACTACACTCACCACTACTACTCACCACTACACTCACCACTACACTCACCACTACACTCACCACTACTCACCACTACTACTCACCAAACTCACCACTACTACACTCACCACTACTCAGCACACTCACCACTACTCACCACTACACTTACCACTACTCACCACCCTCACCACTCCTCACCACTACTCACCACCACCCTCACCAAACTCACCACTACTCACCACTACACTCACCACACTCACCACTACTACTCGCCACCACCCTCACCACTACACTCACCACTACTACTCACCACCACTACACTCACCAAACTCACCACTACACTCACCCTCACCACCGCACTCACCACTACACTCACCACTACACTCAGCACCACACTCACCACTACACTCACCACTACACTCACCACTACTCACTACTACACTCACCACTACTACACTCACCACTACTACACTCACCCTCACCACTACACTCACCACTACTCACCACTTCACTCACCACTACTACACTCACTACTACTACACTCACCCTCACCACTACTCACCACTACACTCACCACTACCACACTCACCACTACCACACTCACCACTACACTCACCACTACCACACTCACCACTACCACACTCACCACTACACTCACCACTACCACACTCACCACTACACTCACCACTACCACACTCACCACTACCACACTCACCACTACACTCACCACTACCACACTCACCACTACCACACTCACCACTACACTCACCACTACACTCACCACTACACTCACCCTCACCACACTCACCCTCACCACACTCACCACTACACTCACCACCACACTCACCACTACACTCACACTCACCACCACACTCACCACTACACTCACCCTAACCACCACACTCACCACTACACTCACCACTACACTCACCACTACACTCACCACTACTCACTACTACACTCACTACTACTACACTCACCACTACTACACTCACCCTCACCACTACTCACCACTTCACTCACCACTACTACACTCACTACTACTACTACACTCACCCTCACCACTACTCACCACTACACTCACCACTACCACACTCACCACCACACTCACCACTACCACACTCACCACTACCACACTCACCACTACACTCACGACTACACTCACCCTCACCACACTCACCACTACACTCACCACTACACTCACCCTCACCACCACACTCACCACCACACTCACCCTCACCACCACCACACTCACCCTCACCACTACACTCACCACCACACTCACCACTGCACTCAGCACCACACTCACCCTCACCACACTCACCCTCACCACCACCACACTCACCCTCACCACCACACTCACCACCACTACACTCACCACCACACTCACCACCACACTCACCACCACACTCACCCTCACCACTACACTCACCACCACCACACTCACCACTACACTCACCACCACCACACTCACCACCACACTCACCACCACCACACTCACCACCACCACACTCACCACCACCACACTCACCACCACACTCACCACCACCACACTCACCACTACACTCACCACCACCACCACCACACTCACCACCACCACACTCACCACCACTACACTCACTCACCACTACACTCACCACCACCACACTCACCACCACACTCACCACCACACTCACCACCAACACATTCACCACCACACTGACTACCACACTCACCACCACTACACTCACCACCACTACACTCACTCACCACCACACTCACCACCAACACACTCACCCTCACCACACTCACCACCACACTTACCACCACTACACTCACCACCAACACACTCACCACCACCACACTCACCACCATGATGGTGATGGTGGTGGTGATGGTGGTGATGGTGGTGATGGTGATGATGGTGGTGGTGATGGTGGTGATGGTGGTGATGGTGGTGGTGATGGTGGTGATGGTGATAATGGTGGTGATGATGGTGGTGGTGATGGTGGTGATGGTGATGATGGTGGTGGTGGTGATGGTGGTGGTGGTGATGATGGTGATGATGGTGGTGGTGATGGTGGTGGTGGTGGTGATGGTGGTGGTGGTGGATGGTGGTGGTGGTGATGGTGGTGGTGATGATGATGGTGGTGGTGATGGTGGTGATGGTGTTGGTGATGGTGGTGATGGTGGTGGTGATGGTGGTGGTGGTGATGGTGGTGGTGATGGTGGTGGTGGTGGTGATGATGGTGGTGGTGATGGTGATGATGGTGGTGATGGTGATGATGGTGGTGGTGATGGTGGTGGTGGTGATGGTGGTGGTGGTGGATGGTGGTGGTGGTGGTGGTGATGGTGGTGGTGGTGGATGGTGGTGGTGGTGGTGGTGATGATGATGGTGGTGGTGATGGTGGTGATGGTGTTGGTGATGGTGGTGATGGTGGTGGTGATGGTGGTGGTGGTGATGGTGGTGGTGATGGTGGTGGTGATGGTGGTGGTGGTGATGATGGTGGTGGTGATGGTGGTGGTGATGATGGTGGTGATGGTGGTGGTGATGGTGGTGGTGATGATGGTGGTGATGGTGGTGGTGATGGTGGTGGTGATGATGGTGGTGATGGTGGTGGTGATGGTGGTGGTGATGATGGTGGTGATGGTGGTGGTGATGGTGGTGGTGATGATGGTGGTGATGGTGGTGGTGATGGTGATGGTGGTGGATGGTGGTGGTGGTGATGGTGGTGGTGATGATGATGGTGGTGGTGATGGTGGTGATGGTGTTGGTGATGGTGGTGATGGTGGTGGTGATGGTGGTGGTGGTGATGGTGGTGGTGATGGTGGTGGTGGTGGTGGTGATGATGGTGGTGGTGATGGTGGTGGTGATGATGGTGGTGATGGTGATGATGGTGGTGGTGGTGATGGTGGTGGTGGTGGTGGTGATGGTGATGGTGGTGGTGGTGGATGGTGGTGGTGGTGATGGTGGATGGTGGTGGTGGTGATGGTGGTGGTGATGATGATGGTGGTGGTGATGGTGGTGATGATGTTGGTGATGGTGGTGATGGTGGTGGTGATGGTGGTGGTGGTGATGGTGGTGGTGATGGTGGTGGTGGTGGTGATGATGGTGGTGGTGATGGTGGTGGTGATGATGGTGGTGATGGTGGTGGTGATGGTGGTGGTGATGATGGTGGTGATGGTGGTGGTGATGGTGGTGGTGATGATGGTGGTGATGGTGGTGGTGATGGTGATGGTGGTGGTGATGGTGGTGGTGATGGTGATGATGGTGGTGATGGTGGTGGTGATGGTGGTGGTGATGATGGTGGTGATGGTGATGGTGGTGGTGATGGTGGTGATGGTGTTGGTGATGGTGGTGATGATGGTGGTGTTAGTGATGGTGTTGATGGTGGTGGTGATGGTGGTGATGGTGGTGGTGGTTGCGGTGGTGGCTGTGACGGTGGCGGCCGCGATGTGATTGGCCGATGCCTACGATGACGGTCACGATGACGACGCTCGTGACGGTAGCACCCGCGATGTGATTGGCTGATGACTACGGCGACGACGATGACGCTGGTGATGCTTGAGGCCGCGATGTGATTGGCTGATGACTACGGCGGCGACGATGACGACGATGACGACGCTCGTGATAGTGATGGCCACGATGTGATTGGCTGATGACTACGGCGACGACGATGACGCTCGTGATGCTTGCGGCCACGATGTGATTGGCTGATGACTACGGCGACGACGATGACGACGATGACGTCGCTCGTGACGGTGGTGTGCCGGCCGCGATGTGATTGGCCGATGACTACGGCGACGACGATGACGACGATGACGTCGCTCGTGACGGTGGTGTGCCGGCCGCGATGTGATTGGCCGAGGACTACGGCGGCGACGATGACGACGATGACGACGCTCGTGACGGTGGTGTGCCGGCCGCGATGTGATTGGCCGATGACTACGGCGATGGCGATGGCGACGACGCTCCTTAGCGGCTCGGCGCTCTCACGTTGATGGTGGCGTCCGTCTGCACGTAGTCGACGTCGAGGTGGGGCAGGCCGAGGTCGCGACCCCCTCGCTGCGCCGAGCTCACCACGCCGGTGGTCACAGAGTTCTGCAGCTTGAAGGGGCTCCCCACGGCCACCACGAACTCGCCCGCCCGGGGCGGCGACGTCGCACGGGCCAGCCGGAGCGCTTGCAGCTTCGCCTGCGGTGGGTGGAGGGGGGGGTGGTGGTGGGGGGGTGGTGGGTGGTGGGGGGGGGGGTGGTGGTGGGGGGGTGGTGGGTGGGGAGGGGTAGCGTAGACTCAGCACTGTCATAGACTCAGCACTGTCATAGACTCAGCACTGTCACCCATAGACTCAGCACTGTCATAGACTCAGCACTGTCATAGACTCAGCACTGTCATAGACTCAGCACTGTCATAGACTCAGCACTGTCACCCATAGACTCAACACTGTCACCCATAGACTCAGCACTGTCATAGACGCAGCACTGTCACCCATAGACTCAGCACTGTCACCCATAGACTCAGCACTGTCATAGACTCAGCACTGTCATAGACTCAGCACTGTCGTAGACTCAGCACTGTCATAGACTCAGCACTGTCACCCATAGGACTCAACACTGTCATAGACGCAGCACTGTCACCCATAGACTCAGCACTGTCACCCATAGACTCAGCACTGTCATAGACTCAGCACTGTCATAGACTCAGCACTGTCACCCATAGACTCAACACTGTCACCTGTAGACTCAACACTTTCATAGACTCAGCACTGTCATAGACTCAGCACTGTCATAGACTCAGCACTGTCATAGACTCAGCACTGTCATGGACTCAGCACTGTCATAGACTCAGCACTGTCATGGACTCAGCACTGTCATAGACTCAGCACTGTCATAGACTCAGCACTGTCATAGACTCAGCACTGTCATAGACTCAGCACTGTCACCCATAGACTCAACACTGTCATAGACGCAGCACTGTCACCCATAGACTCAGCACTGTCACCCATAGACTCAGCACTGTCATAGACTCAGCACTGTCATAGACTCAGCACTGTCATGGACTCAACACTGTCATAGACTCAGCACTGTCACCCATAGACTCAACACTGTCATGGACTCAGCACTGTCATAGACTCAGCACTGTCATAGACTCAGCACTGTCATAGACTCAGCACTGTCACCCATAGACTCAACACTGTCATAGACGCAGCACTGTCACCCATAGACTCAGCACTGTCACCCATAGACTCAGCACTGTCATAGACTCAGCACTGTCATAGACTCAGCACTGTCGTAGACTCAGCACTGTCATAGACTCAGCACTGTCACCCATAGACTCAACACTGTCATAGACTCAGCACTGCCACCCATAGACTCAGCACTGCCACCCATAGACTCAGCACTGTCACCCATAGACTCAGCACTGTCATAGACTCAGCACTGTCATAGACTCAGCACTGTCATAGACTCAGCACTGTCACCCATAGACTCAGCACTCTCACCCATAGACTCAGCACTGTCATAGACTCAGCACTGTCACCCATAGACTCAGCACTGTCACCCATAGACTCAGCACTGTCATAGACTCAGCACTGTCATAGACTCAGCACTGTCACCCATAGACTCAACACTGTCACCTGTAGACTCAACACTGTCATAGACTCAGCACTGTCATAGACTCAGCACTGTCATAGACTCAGCACTGTCATAGACTCAGCACTGTCATGGACTCAGCACTGTCATAGACTCATCACTGTCATGGACTCAGCACTGTCATAGACTCAGCACTGTCATAGACCTCAGCACTGTCATGGACTCAGCACTGTCATAGACTCAGCACTGTCATAGACTCAGCACTGTCATGGACTCAGCACTGTCATAGACTCAGCACTGTCATAGACTCAGCACTGTCATAGACTCAGCACTGTCATAGACTCAGCACTGTCATAGACTCAGCACTGTCACCCATAGACTCAGCACTGTCACCCATAGACTCAGCACTGTCACCCATAGACTCAGCACTGTCATAGACTCAGCACTGTCATAGACTCAGCACTGTCACCCATAGACTCAGCACTGTCACCCATAGACTCAGCACTGTCACCCATAGACTCAGCACTGTCATAGACTCAGCACTGTCATAGACTCAGCACTGTCACCCATAGACTCAACACTGTCACCTGTAGACTCAACACTGTCATAGACTCAGCACTGTCATAGACTCAGCACTGTCACCCATAGACTCAGCACTGTCATAGACTCAGCACTGCCATAGACTCAGCACTGTCATAGACTCAGCACTGTCATAGACTCAGCACTGTCACCCATAGACTCAACACTGTCACCCATAGACTCAGCACTGTCATAGACGCAGCACTGTCACCCATAGACTCAGCACTGTCACCCATAGACTCAGCACTGTCATAGACTCAGCACTGTCATAGACTCAGCACTGTCGTAGACTCAGCACTGTCATAGACTCAGCACTGTCACCCATAGACTCAACACTGTCATAGACGCAGCACTGTCACCCATAGACTCAGCACTGTCACCCATAGACTCAGCACTGTCATAGACTCAGCACTGTCATAGACTCAGCACTGTCACCCATAGACTCAACACTGTCACCTGTAGACTCAACACTTTCATAGACTCAGCACTGTCATAGACTCAGCACTGTCATAGACTCAGCACTGTCATAGACTCAGCACTGTCATGGACTCAGCACTGTCATAGACTCAGCACTGTCATGGACTCAGCACTGTCATAGACTCAGCACTGTCATAGACTCAGCACTGTCATAGACTCAGCACTGTCATAGACTCAGCACTGTACCATAGACTCAACACTGCCACCCATAGACTCAGCACTGTCACCCATAGACTCAACACTGTCATAGACTCAGCACTGTCATAGACTCAGCACTGTCATAGACTCAACAACTGTCATAGACTCAGCACTGTCACCCATAGACTCAACACTGTCATGGACTCAGCACTGTCATAGACTCAGCACTGTCATAGACTCAGCACTGTCATAGACTCAGCACTGTCACCCATAGACTCAACACTGTCATAGACGCAGCACTGTCACCCATAGACTCAGCACTGTCACCCATAGACTCAGCACTGTCATAGACTCAGCACTGTCATAGACTCAGCCCTGTCGTAGACATCAGCACTGTCATAGACTCGCACTGTCACACCATAGACTCAACACTGTCATAGACTCAGCACTGCCACCCATAGACTCAGCACTGCCACCCATAGACTCAGCACTGTCACCCATAGACTCAGCACTGTCATAGACTCAGCACTGTCATAGACTCAGCACTGTCATAGACTCACACTGTCACCCATGAGACTCAGCACTCTCACCCATAGACTCAGCACTGTCATAGACTCAGCACTGTCACCCATAGGACTCGCACTGTCCACCCATAGACTCAGCACTGTCATAGACCTCAGCACTGTCCATAGACTCAGCACTGTCACCCATAGACTCAACACTGTCACCTGTAGACTCAACACTGTCATAGACTCAGCACTGTCATAGACTCAGCACTGTCATGGACTCAGCACTGTCATAGACTCAGCACTGTCATGGACTCAGCACTGTCATAGACTCAGCACTGTCATGGACTCAGCACTGTCATAGACTCAGCACTGTCATAGACTCAGCACTGTCATGGACTCAGCACTGTCATAGACTCAGCCACTGTCAGACTCAGCACTGTCATGGACTCAGCCACTGTCACCCATATACTCAGCACTGTCTAGACACTGTCATAGACTCAGCACTGTCATGGACTCAGCACTGTCATAGACTCAGCACTGTCATAGACTCAGCACTGTCATGGACTCAGCACTGTCATAGACTCAGCACTGTCATAGACTCAGCACTGTCATAGACTCAGCACTGTCATAGACTCAGCACTGTCATAGACTCAGCACTGTCACCCATAGACTCAGCACTGTCACCCATAGACTCAGCACTGTCACCCATAGACTCAGCACTGTCATAGACTCAGCACTGTCATAGACTCAGCACTGTCACCCATAGACTCAGCACTGTCACCCATAGACTCAGCACTGTCACCCATAGACTCAGCACTGTCATAGACTCAGCACTGTCATAGACTCAGCACTGTCACCCATAGACTCAACACTGTCACCTGTAGACTCAACACTGTCATAGACTCAGCACTGTCATAGACTCAGCACTGTCACCCATAGACTCAGCACTGTCATAGACTCAGCACTGCCATAGACTCAGCACTGT